GTTGTCCATCTTATGAGCTAGGAAAAATCCCAGCATGCATCTATAAGGTTTGCCTAAATATATTTGGGGAGGCAAATGCTAATTTGGTTGGAACTAACAAAAATAACAAAACTTTATGTTGCTTTGTAATGTTTAAAAAATGACATGCCATAATTTTAACTTTCCTGATCCATGTGATGAAACCAATCTTAAATTCATGAACATTTCCTGGGGATATCACAAACCAAAAGTGATAAACAGTGGTATAACCCATAATAATAAAAGTATCCCAGCATTAAAACATCATCATAAAATGGGAAACTTTCTAATATTAGTTTTATACTTATGACAATATTAGATGAAAAATCAAATTTTAATATTTCTAAGTAGAAATTTTATTTCTTTCCAATTTGCATGATTATTTTTTTCTTTTGACTCTGAAAAACAAAAATGTTAATATATAGTTTTTTCATATTTAACATTTTTCTTTTCAGGATGAAAGGGAAAAAAGATTATCTTCAAAGAATAGATGTTCAGCAACCAGAAAAAATTTAAAAAAAAAACTCATCAAATTAGTTTTGATTTATTTTTACAATTTAGTATTTTGGCTGTTATATTTATTATATCTTTCCAAAATATTTCACTGAAATAATTATTTTTGTTTTTTGCTTGTTGGGGTTGGATACAAACACATGATTTAAGCAAATTCCACATTTATCAATTTAAAATGAAAATTAGACTTTGGTGATGTTCAAGAACTACACAGTAGCTAAATTTCTTTTAAGAATCCAAGAAATAAGAGTGATTTATAGAATTATCTTAAATTATATATTTTAGTAAATTTACAATTAGTTTCTTTACTCATATTATTTATCAATTCTTATTTCCTTTGAAAATCTTGCGATGATTATCCTAGGCATTCATGAGTTTGAGTATTTTCCAATTTTATTACTTATTTTAATTTTTACAAATTTATACATTTTATTCTTAAAGTCTTTTTTAAAGACCAGGAGGTCAGATATGGGGGTAGGATAAAAACAGGTTGGAATAGGGGTGGTATATCAATAGATTGGGATAGATTAGAGAGAGAGGGGGATACATGAACGAGGATAGATTTTGGGGGAGAAGATATAAACAAACTGGGATATATGGAGTTGGTGGGAGTGGATGAGCAGACATGGATAGATTGGGGTGGGTATGAACAGACTGGGATAGTAGATATAAACAGACCAGAATAGATGAGGGTTGATATACGAACAGGCCAGGATATATGGTGGGGGGATATATGAACAGACTCAGATAAAATTTTGAGGGGATATGAACAGACTGGGATAGATTTTATGGGAGAGGATATGAACAGACAAATGGTTACATTGCATGCAGGGTGCTATAGGAAGGGCTGGGGGGTGCTTCAGCTCACCCCACATTTTGCTGAAACTGAAAATTAAACAAAAGACCATCATCTTGACCTAAGTCAATGACAATTCTAATGCATCATTTGTCTAAAATTATTACAGCCACTGTTTTTTTAAATAAGTTATAAAATGACATTTCCATTTTTTTAAAATATTAGCTTCTAAAACTTTTATATAAGTTTTATATACAGAACAAGTCTGTATGTGTCAATCCAGAAAAGTACAAATGAAGAGAAAAAGGTATATTTAAAACCAAAACAAATCAAATGTTTAGAGTAAGACAATAGATAAAAAAAAATAAAATTAAAATAAAAAATTAAAAAAGATATTGTGAGGATCAGATTAAAAAAAAAAGATTCTTTAAAACTTAACCTTTGATTACCCCCCCCCAAACTTTATTTAGTGGTACCGTGCCTGTAGCTACAGTAAATATTTGCAGAAAGGGAAAAATAAAACCTATGAACCTAATATACAAAGACCAGGATTTAATTTTTGCTACCCATTGACTTCCTTGTCATCCAACCAATGTGCTAATTAAACATCAGATTATGCAATTTTTAAAATAGAAAATTTGGTTTGTTTAATTTCAGTAATCATTATGTATATTACTGATTAGGAACGAAGGGATAGTCAGTGATCAGGAATGAAAAGAAACATTACTGATAGATAAATAGCTATGTTTTCAAAATGTCATGATGACATATTTTCTAGTGCAGATATCATTAATCTTTTGGTCCTGTCACTTTGCAGAAACCACGAGAATGCATATCACAGAAAACGTAGAACAGAACTAAGATTCCAGGCTGAATAACAGAGAAAGAATATGAAATTGGCACATCAATACAAAATGGCTGTATTGAAAATCCCAGCCAAATACATAAAAACTGAGCTGCATTGGAGAAAGAAAATCTGTGATGCATAGTAAATAAGTAGAGATATACTGATGCTAAATTGGATGGTGAAGAATGCCTGCCACCTGGTGTGATGCCTTGATTGATTGATTTTTTTTTTTACAGCTTATCTACCTTTTGTAGGTTATTTAAAGCCATAAATTTATGAGAATTTTTTATGAAGAACAGACTTGAAGCAACAGAAATGTGGTTCTACAGAAGGATGTTGAGGATACCATGGACTGAATATGTGAATAACGACTAAGATCTAGAAAGAATGGAAACAAAAAGGAAATTTATGCTTAACATTAAGAAGAGAGAGCTGAAATTTCTAGAATACTTAATGAGGAAAGAGGGTTTGGAAAATCTGATACTAACAGGACAGACTGAAGACAAGAGGACCAGAGGAAAACAACACATAACATCCTTAGCTTGATTAAATGGATGGCAGAACAGAGTTTGGGAGAAAGAACAGAGTTTGGGAGAAATAGCAAAAAGACAAAATTTATTAAGAACTAAACTGGACAGGAAATTATGGAGAGCCATGATTGCCTATGTCCTGTGGTGATATGGTATATGAAGAAGCAGATACGAGTCTCACTAATTAAACCAAAGCTAGGAGAGAAGAGGTGGAATCGTACTTTTCCCTATGGTTATTTGCATATGTGAATATAACAAATCCAACTGAAAATTGGAGCTCGACTCTCAAATTTCAAATTCTAGGCCATTAACCACTATGCCACCCATCCACCTAAAGTTTATAGCAGCTGGTATTCCCAAGCAGTCATCCATCTAAGTACTGACCAGACTCAACATTGCTTACCATACAAGAATTGGTGTTTCAGCATGATATGGCTGTAGACTGTGTCGATCCTAGAATAAGTACAACTTGTCTCTCATGAGACAACTACTTATCCAGATTTAATTTAAAAATGTAAAGAGACTACAGTTTCAGGTGTATTTTCGAGTGTTGCTAGATTAGGAACACATGTTGTTTATTCCTGCTAGAAGAAGGTCCAACTACAAGAAAATGCCAAACTCTAATTGAGTCCAACTGAAGATGTAAAGAAAACAAACAAGACCTATATATATATATATATATATATATATATATATATATATATATATATATATGTGTGTGTGTGTGTGTGTGTGTGTGTGTGTGTGTGTGTCAACAAATATATGTATTAAACAACAAGTTTACAAGTGACAAAGACATTAACATTTGTGTTTGTGTGTGAACATAAAAAGTTTGTATTTTGGTGAATGTTCGTAAGTATGTGTATGTGTGTTTAATGTTCACAGCGTCTTCCCCTAGTGAATAATTAGGGAATCAAGGAGGAGCTAACTCTGACAAGGATTTCTTTTGAGGATTTCAAAAAATTTGTAAAAAATAAATGATGTCTTGAAATAGCTGCAACTTTAAGAATTTTAATCTCAAAACCACCTTCATTAATCATTTTTTTAAAAAAGGCGAATATCAACCGGAAGTAAGTTCAATTGAGAGATACCAAGAAATTCAAACATTACTGAACTATAGAACACTTGACAGGACTTGCCATTTAGATGTGAACTATCAAGAAAAGAAAGCTATCTCATTTACTGAAAAGATTGTAAAAAAAAAAATAAAAAAAAAACACCATATGTGATATTAATTTTTAGGTTGAAGAATGCCTTGAAGTTGATAGAAACAAACAAACACAGTACAGATAGAAAAAAATCAGCACTGATTTAATGAGTGAAAATAACAGCCACCATGACCACACCCGGTTTATATCTACACTCTACCACTGATATTGGGTATTCTTCCCTATAAATATAGAAAAATTTTAAGACGCTATCTATGTATGCAAACATACAAAACATTCCACTCTTCCATGGGGTGGTATATTACAATGGAATTCTATTTCAGATTCATCCCAAGCTATGTAAAATATTTTATCTTTTATCTATGTATCCATTTCATTCTGTTTATCTATCTATTGCTGTATCCACCTTTCACAGTATGCTTTTATATATCTGTCAATCTCAGCCTATTCATGTCTATATATGTCACTATCCCACTTTCTCTATATCTAAAGCTAGTTTGCTAACAGTCTTTTGAGTCATATCTAAAAAAAAATAGGGCATCTGGGTTGACAATCATCAATCCCAGTCTGGCAAAGTGATCAATTCTACCTACTTGTTCAAAGAAATTTGATTTTCTTGTCTTCTTCTTCCTTATCAGTACATTCTCTAGAAAATGTTTCCATACTGCCTGTAATTTCCAGTCTATTTATTGCCGTTGACATGACGGCTTTTTCTCTTTATTTGTGCCGCGTTTGTGTGTTTCTATAGCTCATCTATCCAACAATTGATTGATTGATGTCTGATATTTGGGAGAGTTCTTTTTAAGAATGGATCACTTGAAAAGCTAAGTTAGGACACATTAAACCAATTTTAGATAACAACCACCAAACCTTCCCCTCTATTAGAGATGGTGTTTTGCCAAATTTATGACCAAATTTATACATAGAAGGGATGCCTTTATCCATAAATTATATACATCATAATCATATAGAGAGATATGAGCAGAAAGAAAATGGTCAGATAGAGAATGAAAGAGAGAGAGAGAGAGAGAGAGAAATATAGGCAGAAATAGAATGAAACATTGAGAGAGAGATAGACAGGCAGAAACTGAGTGAGAGAAAGAGATACATGGATCCAGACTGAGATGTCATGCACTTAAGAAAGAAAAGAATGAAGTGACATTGATAGGTAGGGAGCATGAAGCAAAAGTACAAACCCAGAGAGCCCGAGACACATTGGGACAGAGAGACCGAGACACATTGGGACAGAGAGACCGAGACACATTGGGACAGAGAGACCGAGACACATTGGGACAGAGAGCCCGAGACACATTGGGACAGAGAGCTCGAGACACATTGAGACAGAGAGCCCAAGACAGACCCAGAGAGCCCAATTTGAACAGTAATTATTTTGCATTCATCCATTTTTCATACGTGTCAGTATTATTAAGTAGTAAATTAATTTTATCATTGTATGTGTTCCTACTGATAATAAGAAATACCACCTCCCTTGTTTGAAAAGATAATGTCGATTTCCTTATTTTTTGCTTGGCTTCTTAATGCATTTAATTTTCTCTTCAGTAAATTTATTTCATTGTTCATTTCTAGAGTGGCAGTAATTATTCCTTGAATAAAGCCATTGGTGAAGTCTGTCATTGTATCCATGATTTTTAACTATTGTATTAGTTGGGTCTCCTTTATGAATCTCAATAGAGATTTTTAAACAAAAACAAATAGTTTCCCATTTGGTATTGGACAGCTTTATATTTAATAGATTTTCTATTAGGTCTGGTCTTTCAATGTATTTCCATTTGGTATTTAGAGTCTTGAGTTTACATTTTAATTAGTTGATTTGATTGTTGCTTATATATTTTATGGTCTATTGCAAATGAGAATAAATGAGAATGAATTATTTCCAATCTTGATATAATGTTCACAACTATAACTAAAAAGAATTTATCTAAGATTAACATAAAATTTACTCCAGCTACTTCTAAAACTTTAAAAGACTCCATACAGAACAAAATAATATGCTAAGACTTGAAGGAGGAATTTATTTACTCACCTGTAACAAGGAATCTATAAGAGAAAGGAATTTCAATATAAGAACATATAAGCACAAAGGGATCTTTTTTAAAACAATACAGTCTAATACACTGTAATATGAGTCTGACCATAACACTGTTCATTGTTATCTAAGCTGTGCTGGATGAGAATAGTACTGATCCCAAGTTATATATATATATATATTTATTTATTATACACACAAACACATGATGGCTGTCCACTCATTAAATAAGCAAAACCATCACTGACTTTTTAATGTAATTTGTTACCATTCATCGTAAGACCAGCAGTAATTCTTCAAACTACCAATACTTATATACTTTTCCACAGACATAGCTAACAAAGTTTTCTTGTCATGTTCAGAGATCCAATGCACCTTTAGGTGCCTTGTTAAGCCAGATCAATTTTTGCAGATTTTTCTGCATTCTTCACATGTGAGATGACTGATGTCAAGGAATGCCTCATAGTTGATGAATGGTCTGCCAGCATAGATATGCTGATGACTGGTTTGGTCTGCATTTGATAGACTCACTAACACTCAAGGATAGACAAACTGTGACATGTCTGGATTGATATTACCATCTACTCAAGATGCACTCCTTATTTAAGACTAGGTATTTGCAGTATCTTAGAAGCATTAGGATCTGCTATACAAGATCTTTCTTCTCCAACTACTTCTATCACAGGCTACTATCCCAAAGTTGAGATTATCAGTTTACCTACTGCTAGTGAATCCTTAACATAACTTTTGAACCATTTATTCTGATCTCTCTCTCTATATATATATATATATATATATATATATATATATATATATATATATATATGTATGTATATTCATACATGTTTCATTAAATAATATAGACAAGTGTTGTCTATTGATTTTATGTAAATTCATTTCATAACATCTGATATGCATAATAACATTATCATTAAACCAAGAAAGAAAATCACAATATTGATACATATTTTTTAATCCAATCTAAGTTTTCGGCTTACATAAGCCATTATCAAAAATGCCAATTACTGTACAACATATTAAGCAATATACGGACAAGACAGTGATGATAGTCTGTGATTGTTTACTTGGATGATTTCCTAGGAATGATAAACACGTGTATATAAGACGCTAGAAGTGAAACTTGCACCACAGCTCATAATGTCACACATGACCACGCAAGAGTGAATTCGAGAAGTATTAAGTATGGGAAGACATTGGTATAAACCAATGGCTTCTGTTACTAATTATAGACATTTAAGGATATTTGTAGAGATTCCATAGTTAATTTTCTTTAGGTTGGGTTTCAACTGTTTGATGTATATTGCTTCAAAGATTTTTAGTTTTTGTCTATTGTTTTCATGTTGAAGTATAATTGTGTTTTCTTTGTTTAATGATAATGTTATTAAGCTTAGATGTTATGAAAAGAATTTACATAAAATAAATAGACAACACTTGTCTATATTATTTAATGAAACATGTATGAATGAAAAAATGCTGCCTAAATACACACAATACATATATATATATATATATATATATATATATATATATATATATATATATATAAAACCAATAAACACACAAATGGATTTAAATTGTTCGAGCAAGTTTCTTTCTAGAACACCAATTGTCAGGCAATAAAATGAATGAAGTTAACCATATAAGTCATATGAATATATCCACAGTTGCACCTAGCAGCCATACCATTCATTAATCACTGACTAGATGGAATAACAAATATTTGTTTTCATACTTGCATTTGGAGATTAACTTAGATTTTTAATGAAATAATATTTAATTTTTCCTTCAAGTAGAAACTGCATCAGCTAGAACCTCCTTTGCAAGGAAATGCTTGTTTTTTTTTTTTCTTTAACAAATTTCTATATCAGGAAATTGTCCATAGTTCTTCTATTTCCATATATATTTTGATAGTGTTGTGCTATTCTGTAGTGATTTCTCTGAAAGAATATCTTATTATTGAAAAATCTCTACTCGATTCTTTTAATAGTTCCAATGCACACCATATAAAGCCTGTCATCTATCCTTACAGTGTATCATATACACCTTTTTTTAAATAGGATTTGATACCTGACAGTGTGATGATTAGTTAAATAACTTCATAGGCCATTTGACAATACTGTCAGTTCTATCCTTACTATGTGAGTGCTCAACTAATGTGCCCAGATAAGCTGAGTGAATACATATCTATTTCTGATTGATGTAGATATAAATTATCAACCATGTGAATCCAGATACAAGCTTAGACTTTATATGCTGACTTCAAACAAAACAGGTTTTCTTCACACCTGGAAGATTTACATAATGCTGTTTACATAAGGCACCATTTCACTTTCCATTTGGTACTGTTCCAGACAAACCAAAAGCTTATATATTTGATGATAGCTGTTGCTGGTAAATTATTTTGGGGATGGTATTTCAGAAGAATTTAATTACAAGGACTGCTTCAACAAAGCTAAATTGAATTTTATTTTATAAAATGGCGCCTGTTAGAAAGAATCACAAATAGAGGAAAATACAAATATATTGAAAATCACGATTCAGAGAAATAAAGTAGAAAAGTTAAAAAAAACAAAAAACAAAGAAAATTTAAGGAAAGAGATTATATATAAGTTGTGTACAAAAGTTACTAGAACTATATTGACAAAAAACTGGAAAAACATTGAAAATTTTGCACACATGTATGTATATATATATATATATAAACACATATGTGTGTGTGTGTTAGGGGTGCATGCAGAAAGAGAAAAAAAGGATACAGATATAGATTTTTTTTGGTGGGGAGGTCAAGTTACCTAATCACTTTTAATTAAAATATAAACAAATTCAGTTTTCTTTACAATGGAATGTTATAAACTTTTCTACAACATGCTTTTGTATTTGCTAATAAATAAATGATTTTTCATCTATTTTGATAATTTAAAATTTATATTTACATAGAATGTTAGAGAATTAATATTATTTACAAAGTGTGTATACAGATACAGAAGACAGACCCACCCACCCAGACAGACAGACTGATACACACATACATAGACAAACTAACTGAAACACAGGGACTGACTAAAACAAGCAGACCAAGCGATAGAAACAGACTGAACAACCGACCAAGCGATAGAAACAGACCGGACAACTGACCAAGCGATAGAAACAGACCGGACAACCAACCAAGCGATAGAAACAGACCGGACAACCAACCAAGCAATAGAAACGGACTGAACAACGGACCAAGCGATAGAAATGGACCGGACAACCGACCAAGTGATAGAAATGGACCGGACAACCGACTGAAACAGACAGACTGACCAAAACCATATACAGAGACAATCTGGCCAAAATAGATTGACAGAAAAAGAGAGAGAAGCTGAATACATGAAACAATATTTTTTGTGAACTGTCATTTTAATTTCAATTTTGCAGATATAAATCTCATTTATTATGAAATTAAATAACAAAATGATATTCATAGGGAAACAAAAAAATCAAGCAAATGAATACAAGATTCAGCAAGAAAAAACATCCACCATAAAAGCAGAATTCACTGTTGTCCCAGAAATGAAAGTTTTTTCATTTTATCCCTACGAGTACATTTGTCACACAAACAATATTTGCCAGCCAGACTCATGCAAATCTGGATAAAAACAATATGCAAAACATGAAATTACAACAAAACAACAATTCTTCTATGAGCCATGTTCATTCAGGAGGTTGGCATTCATGGCTCTCTAAAATTTTCTGGCCCTTGTAGATTTTAATTGTCTTTTTGGCATCTCTCCCAAACCTTGCTCCACCATCCAGTCACACAAGCTTGCTAGGTAGGCTGTGCATTGCCTTCTTCTGGCCCTTCAATTTTTCCTTTGAGTATCAAATTTTACAAGCCCTCTTTCCTCAGTATGTGCCCCAGAAATTTCAATTATCTCTTCTGACATCTGTGTCCTTTTTGTCGCCATTTTCCCTAAAACTTTGTTGTTGCTCACATGCTTCATCCATGGTAAATATATCTTGTTGCTTGTTGATTATTGTCAGGGAGCTGCTCCCAAGCAATCTCATTGTAGTTAAGTCATATTTAGGAAAAGATCTCTGCACTGAGAAAGAATGAAAGGAAACCCATGACAGAGTCACTGATGAGCAATTAATACCAAAACTGAGTTTAGGTGATAATGTCACGTGTGCAACAAAAGAAATAAGATCAGTTTTACTATTTAATATTTCTTTTTTTTTTTAGCATCAGTTTTTTAATTATGCCAAATAGTATTCAGCTTAAACTTTTTACAGCAACATTATATATATCTATATATATATATATATATATATATATATATAAAAAGAGAGAGTGCTTTCATACAAAACTCTTGAGTCTGCTGACCAGATAAGTCATTTGAATTTTTCTTGATTTACAGCATTAGTTATCTATTAAGAATTTTTTAGAAGTTCTGATAGCCTAAAAAAAACAAAATCCTCATAATTTTCATATTTTTCCTGAAATATAGAGGATTATAACTATTTAACTTAAACATATATGTTCATGTCTACTTTTTATTATATTTTTATATATATACAATTTTATACGTGTACATAAAGAATATTGTGTATAAATAATACATACACACACACCTATCTATCCATCCACACACACATGCATCATCCATATGCACAAACACACATTCATCTGCATACACATCCATCCATCCACACGCTCACATCCAGCCATCTATACACAGGCACATCCATCCATACACATGCACACATATCCGTTCGTTCATTCATACATATGCACACACATCCTTCCATCCATACAGACAAATCTGTCCGTCCGTCCATGAACACACATCCGTCTGTCCATCCATGCACACACATCCGTCCGTCCATGCACACACATCCGTCTGTCCGTCGTCCGTCCATGCACATGTTGGAATTTTTGGGATACTAGTGAGCCAGCTAAAATGAGCTGACTCATTTTATAGTTCACCAATAGAAGGGTTAACCAATCAAAATATTCAATACAACGTGTATAAAGGTGGCCATGTTTTTTTTTCCCCCCGAATATTCACTGGCAGCCTTTGATATCGAAGACTGAAGAATTACAGAACAGCTGCTGGTAGTATTGACAATATAGGCAGATTCAGTAGAGTGTCTGACTCATGATTATTAATCTTTAACATTGTTTCATTGAACAGATTACGTACTGTGCTGTATTCTATATTCATAGACTATGGTGAACATGGTTAACAGCACACACATCCGTCCATGCACACACATCCATCTGTTCATGCACAAATACACACATCTGTCCCTACATATTCTTTACTCTTTCATTTCTAAAATTAACATTAATAATTTAAAATGTTAAATATATACAAAATGGTCATTATATACATTATTCGGACTATTGTCCTCATCTTTGTCGCCATATTTATCACGACTTTTCGGCCGTTGCATGCTCCAGCCTTCTTCAGGTGGTTGGAATGTTGAACTGAACCCTTTATTTCGCACACTGGAGTAGATTGTTCTAGTTCCACATGCCATGTTTAATGGATGTCAGTTATCAGTTATTGCCTGTTAATTTTGCCTCTGAAAGTTCTCCGCCTTTATCCACTGTGCCAGTGGATAAAGGCGATGGTTAGATCCAGTGACATAACCCAAAGAGTGTGAGTTCAATACCCGGCTAAGGCAGTGGAGAACATGAGAACATTCAGACTATTGTCCTCATCTTTGTTGTTGTTATCACATTTCATCCATTTTACCCTCCAGCCTTCATCAGGTGTGTATCAATTTGGGTAACCTACAGGATTAAACATCAGAGATTGAAACATTAGTTCATGAATTTGGTGATATAGTAATTGTGAGTTCAATCCCTGAGCTGAGTAGTGTGTACTTGGACTCAGTGGAAACAGGGTGAGCAATAACCAAGCAGTACTAAAAATAAGAACCAGATGAGATATTGCTAGATATGGACAGCGTAATGTGAATACACATAGATTAAATAAAGTGCTCAGTTTGGAATTACCTATAGGTTACCCAGATCAATATAAACCTTATGAAGGGCACAATTGCTGAAATGTAGTGATAGTCACAACAAAGATGAGGACAATAGTCAATAGTGTAAATGATGACAAACTCCTCATCCCAGAAATTAAAACCAAAAACAAAGATTTTTACATTTTCAGTGTATCATGATGAACAAACACAAGTGTTGATACATCGCTGAAAGAGCTCCAGCACAGAAAAAATCCATTTGTAATGTCATTAATACCTCTTTAAGTGTTCACACAGACATATATATATATATATATATATATGAATGCATAAATATGATGCATGTGCACCTGCATAAAGCCATTTGACAAATTTGTTCCATCTGAAGACCATTGAGTGCTTACAGATCAATTCATGAATGCTTTTAGCAATTCAATTCATTTATCTTTCCTGCACTATGACAAATATTTTCCCTGAATATAAAGATATGTTAAGTGTGTGTATTACACATAGAAATTACAAAAAAGCATTTATGTTTAGACATATAATCATGCAATCTCAATAAGTTCATTTCTAAATTTAATTGTCCATAATCAAAGTATATATTTTCATTTGTCATTAACTAAGACAAATATTTATACCCTTAAATCCACAATACCATTCTTTATCTTCTCATATGCAACACTGACTAAACTCCCCATTGATCTCATTCTCTTCCTATCTATCTATTGATTTTGTTCTCTATGTAAGTCTGTTCATATCTATTGATCTATCAGTTTCCCCATTACTATCTGTCTACCTATTTATCTTATTGTTATTATTTTTTCTATTGGCCATGTTTTCTTTATATATTACTTATTTTTATTATACAACTCAAGGTCAAGTCTATAATCTAAAATATCATCCCTAAACAGAAAAAAAAAGTGTGAAAAAGTGATTTTTTCCTTCCTCCTCAGGAGCATATATATATATATATATATATATATATATATATATATGTGTGTGTGTGTGTGTGTGTGTGTGTGTGCATGGTACTTAATGGAAAGTGCTCAATATATGTGATAGAGCTAAAATATTCAGTTCTTTGTTAAGAGAACATTGCTACATATGTAAAGCTACAGCCTTGACACCAAAATAAAATGACAATTGCATATATATATATATGTGCTTGAACACATGGATGTGTATCTGCTCCTAACCTCAGATTATTTATATAGGTTTGTCTGTACAAACTAAAAGGCATACACCTGTATGTATGTGTATCTATGCATGTGAGAGTGTCATCCCAAGCAAACACAGAAGAAAATTCCCCTCTCCATCATACACAAATAATCAAACACAAATAAGCATAAATAGATTCACTTTTTAAAAAGTGAACCAGTTTGTCTGATGATTGCAAAAGCATGAAACCCAGGGTTACAAACTCTGTGTGTGTGTGTGTGTGTGTGTATATATATATATATATATATATATATTGCATCTAGACATATGGTTCTGTTGTTAATATTTTGTTCTCTCATGTGGTACAATATCATAGAACTGCATCACAAATTTCCAACTACCCCACAACTGTTATATCATATAGCAATCGTCAATGTCAACATAACTGAATATCATCTTTGATGGTGAATACCTTTGTTAAACATCCATATAGCCACTCTGAAGATGGCTCATGTGAGACGAAAGCTTAGATCAAGGAACAGCATAATAAAAAAATATCCAAATTTTGGACAATTTTTGTCTTTATTTTCTATGGAAATTAAAGCAAATATACAAAGTTTAGAATGGCTCATGATCAAACATAATAGACATTAGTTGTATTTTATATTTAACAATATATGTTTGAAAATATATATATATATATATATATATATATATAAAAAGTGAGAGAGAACCTATCCAGAAGAATGACTATGATGTTTGATTGAATGTTTTTCTGGCTTATCAACCTTTTGCAGGCTATTTAAAGCCAGAGAAAATTTTTAAATGGTAAGAATGGAGATCATGATTTACTGATAAAAGTCTTACTAATTAATGCATACTTGCGGATAAAAGAGGTTGAGTTATACTTTTCCCAAATGCATTTGTGCATAAATGAATATAACAAACGCAGTTGAAATTCGAACTCAGCTCCCTGATTTCCAATTCTGAGCTGCTATCCATTATACCGCCCACACATGTAAGTTTACAGTACCTGGTATACCCATTTAATGTGTGAAACTGACAGTTACTATGTTGTATTGATTCTTATGTCTAAACTGCTTCTATCTGCAAAAGCTGTAATACCGATAATAAGCAGTCTTCCTCAATAAGTATAGCAAATTTTAAATGTGTATCTGTGTGTGTGTGTGATTTTATTATTTTTGCAATAATCTTTTACCCATACAAATTTATCAGT